GTGTGTGTGTGTGGGGGGGGGGGGGGGGGGGGGGGGGTGTGCGCACCTGTTACTAGAAGTCCAATTTTCCTAGTGAAGGAGATGGTGTCAACACACCTAGGTCAGAGATGCCTTTGGAGCAGGAGGGTGGCTACGTCCTGTGTACTGGAAATTATGTGTGGATCTGCTTTTACACATGATTTCAGCAGACGCGCCCGCTGGTTGAGAGAGTTTGTGAACACAGCATTGTCCACTGGCCGGGAAATCGACCGAAATTCACAGATTTTTAACCCTTCCTCTATCAAACAGTAATGTCCTCCTTTTCCCAGATTGTAAAACCCGGGTGCACACCTAAGTCAAAAGGGGAATTTTCCTAACTCCTACACATAGCTTCCTTCCAGAGAGATTCTTTCGGAACTCTACAATCAGAAGAAAATACAGCAGAATTCGTGTGGCGATGGGGTGAAGGGCCATGTGTGTGTGGGGTGTGTGTGTGTGTGTGTCTGTGTCTGTGTGTGTGTGTGTGTACTCACCCAGGCACGTCTTTACTTCTCAGGACAATCATCTGTGAAAAAGAGCAAGGAAGAAAATGAAACAGGATGAAGGGAGATGTGCGATCCCACCAAGCAGATTCCTTGCCAGGCAAGCAACACATGATTGTGTGCAGAGACGATCTTGGGCAAGGATGTCGGGGGACTGGGTTTGTGTGGTGATGTGTATGTGGCCGGCTGGAAGGAAGAGCATCAGGACTCACCTGTTTTCTGGACATACTGAATGCTGGACATCGGGATACCCTTCTCCTCGGCGAACTCCTCCAACCTCTGTTTCTCTTTCTGCTTCAGCTTCTTTCCTTTCCCTGTGTGGCATGGAAAGGGAGTCAGGAAGAGGTGGCCTACATGACAATGGCTTCCCCTGAGAACCACTGGGCCAGTGATCGGCCACGCCCATGCCGACAGGCTCCCGGAGATCAAGATGGGGTCTCTAGCGTGATGTGTTGTCGGGGCTTATTTACATGTTTGGTTTGTTTTTGGTTATTTTGGTGCCAGTTCTGGAGATTGAACTGGAGGCCTGGGGCCTGTCCCTGAGCTTTTGGTGTTCAAGGCTAGCATGCTTCGTCGGGGGCTGTTTCTGGCTCTTTGGTGCTTCACTAGAGAGATGAGTGTCAGGGACTTTGCTGTCTCTGCTGGCATCGCACTAGGATCCTCAGATCTCAGCCTCCTGAGTAGCTGGGATGGCAGGTGTGAGCCACTGGTGCCCAGGTGAGATTTCTTCTTTCCTCCACACACTGCAGTCTCCCTTTTCCCATCTCCAATTCCCCACGCAATTTCCGATCTTGCCCCCACCCCAAAGGAGAAGACAAAGGGACTCAAGCCTATTTCCCCTGTGACCTGTGAGAAAAACCAGAAGCATAACTCCAAATCACCTCTTGGCCATTCCTCCAACCAGTGTTGGACATTCTCCGTCCACCCCCCCATGCGAGAATGATAAACACCCCATTATCCAACTCCAGTGCTTTTCATACTTCATTCATCAGAGCTCATGATTGTCATGTTTGACAGAATTTGATCTCAGAAGCTCAACTCGTGTTACTCTACCAGGAAGGTGACATTCGTTTGGACCCTTCGAGAACATGGTAGGAGGGGTCAGGGAAAAAAGGAGCGCACTCCACCATCAAATTGAAAGAGGATTTGCCCCGTGGGTTCCTACACTAAAAGCCCCTTGGGGGTGTGGGAATGAGACAGGCCCCTGTTAGGAGACTCTCTAGGAATCGGGAGAATAAACAAGTGTGCGACAGAGCTAGGTCTTTTGGAATAGACCATTCTGTCTCCTCAACTCCACAGCACAGAGCTTAGCGATGACTCCCCCTCAGTGGATGTGGGCAGTGACCGCCCTTCCCCCTCCCGGCTCAGTCCCCAGCCTCTGTGGGCTGACGACCCTGGGCGCTCACCTGCCACCAGGATCATGTGCGTGACCTGTCCTTCTTCATCTGTGTTCTTATTGTAGAAGATGAGCAGTTTGCTGCTTTGCTCCAGCAACTCGAAATCATTTTGGCCATGGTCTAGGACAAAAGCAGTCATCCTCAGCTTGCTCACGATCTAGGCCCCCATTGCAAGTTGCCTGCTCTCTGTGGAATGCACTGTTACTCCTCCTCTCCCCCCGGGGAGTCACTTGGCGCCTAATCTGTCTTGGGTGCTACCTCGAAGTTCAATCACCCTGGTCTTGGGTGGAGAATTCCACCTCCTCCAGACACAGCCCAGAGACCAATGCCTGAATCCTCCACCCGCCCCAAACCATCCTAGCATGAATGAACAGGAATCTGTGCTCCCACTTGTCCTAAGTGAAACCCATACAATTCAGTAGGTTCAGGTTGGCTCTTCTATTGGTACTTTGACTTTGATATCAGAGATTTTAGTACATCAGGCCCCTTTCCAATTGATTATTGGTCTTTCAAACTCCAACAGACTTTCTTAGTCAATATATATTAATGATCCTAAAGGACTGTGCAGAGGGGTGGACATTCAACAAACCGTTTATGAATACAGCATGTCTCGATCAATGTCGAGAACATGGGTATTATATCATTTTCTCCACTGAGAATAAGGTGCAGCAACACCTGACAAAGTAGATGCAGCCCATCCTATTGGACAGGTTTCCCCCTGATTCAATTCCTGGGAATTTCCTGAAGCTGTTGCTAAAATACCTGTGCTGTCTCCATCAACTGTCTTTTCAAATGGCATTTTGTGTGCAAGAGAGTCCAAACCTATGACAATAATTCATGTTCTGAAAGCTTATTGCCAGGAATGGTGGCTAGCGATCTGCTGCCTTCACATCTGTATCATCTGTGGGTACCGTGTTCAAATGAATTCTTTAATAAAATACATATTGCTTGTGATGAAAAATAAAGAAAGGCAGATAAAGCCCACGGGTCAGGAGTTGTGTCCAACTACCAAAGCGAGGACACTGAGAAAGACCTAATGTGCTTGTCCACCGCCTTCATAAATGGTGACATCTAGCGGGATTTCCCTTTGAGATCATTTGAAAAGGAATAATCAAATACCCTGAAGAACTTGAGGCAAACTTGTATAATCCCTGAATTTTCTTGCTTGAATCCATTACCTAGAATATTCAGCTCTTTCTCCCAGATGATCTCCGACTCTACTCTTGGATGTTTGGAGACTTCAGAGGCATAGATGGAAGATCTGTAGCTCCCCCCGCCCCCTCCATCCTGTGCATGGCCATGCTTTGAGTCCCCTCTTCTGTCTACACCGCATTGTACTCACAGTATCCTACGTACGATCCATCATCCTGCAGCGTGCCCACAACAGTGTATTTCTTGCACTCTCCGGTTTGCCTGAAAAATATCAACACAAACATGCATACATCCCACTAACGTGTTCCAGAATGGTTGAGCAGAAGAGGATACCAGCCTGGGAGATTCTTTGAATAACTCACCACCTCAAATTTATTATGGTTATTATTAAATACTCTTATTATATAATTATTACATGATATATTATAAATAGACAGTATTTGATAATTAGTATATAATTCTATGTCATACATAGGAAAATTCTCGTTAACTATATAATAATATTCATTAATAATAATATGCACATCTGGGATCTTGAACTCAGGATAAAAGTGCTTAGTCTTAGGGCTTCTGTTTTGCTCAAGGCTGATGCTCTACCAATTGAACCACAGCTACCCTTGCCACTTTGTTTGCTGGTTAAATTTCTCATGGATGTCCTGGCCTGGTGTGGTTTGAACTGTGATCCTTCCAATCTCATCCTCCTGTAATCCAGCTGGGATTACAGACATGAGCCACCAGGGCCGGCTGATGGCTGAATATGCTCATGTCCATGTCAAGGTAAGGGTATGGGTGTAGAGCACCTTCCCAGGAAGCCATGTGTCGATCTACAAGCAGGGAACACATTTGCCACACATGTGGACTGTGTGCCAGATTAAGCCAGACACTGCCCTCTATAAGGCCATAGGCACAAAGTTTCCCCCTCAGTCTAAAGCCCAGGGTGTAGGTCCATTCTGTTTCTGAGCTGCTCGTGTAAGACCTGAATCCACCAGGGTTCAGGTGCTGATTGTGACACAGAGCGCACACTATCCATTCCTGGCTGGACACCAGTCACCACCGCATTTTCTAAAAATGTACATGGCTGTGTGAAAGATTCTGGACCCAGACATGGGGGCAGAGCTCGGTTCCCTCTTCTCAGGGTGGGGAGGAGGGGGTGGGAGAGGGAAGCTTTCCTCACTTGTTATAAAACTGGACGGTCATGGATTGTCCATCTTCAGGAGCCTCGATGTAGCGGACAAGGATTTGAAAGGGGCCGTCTTCCTGGATCTTCTGCAATCTGTCTGATACGATGGCCAACGTGCGCCACGTGCCAGTGACCTGGAGGACAAACGTTCCATTGCCCAAGGCCAGTGCCTTTCTCCTCCTTCCCCTCCCATCCCCAGATCCTCCTCCCCTCTGCTCCACCTCCCAAAGCCCAGCACAAGGCCAATCTGGATTTGGTAAAGAACAGGAGGCCAGGCCTTGCCTCTCTCCTGGGACATCCAACCTGGAGCCTCCATGACCCAGACACCCAGGAGCACCATCATGGCTTCTGGAGAGTGAGCCAGGATTCAAGGCAGGCATGAAAGGCTCCCCAGGCAAAGTCACAACCCAACATGGCCTGGGATCTTGCACTAAAGAGGCCACCTCCATCTACCACCAACAGGGAGTTGAAAGAGGGAAAGGCATTTTCCTGGTCATGAGCACACAGACATCCACAGGCTATTCAACTCAATCTCTCTGTGTCTCTCATGCACACACACACACACACACACACACACACACACACACACACACACACGCCTGCTAAGCGCATGCCTGGTACCTGTGATGGCTGAATCTCAGCACAGGCCACACCGAACAAGAGAGCGAAGAGCAGAGCCTTCATTGTGAGGAAACTGCTGGTGACCCCGGGGCTGTAGAAGCTCAGAGCAGGTCCGCTGTGGTGGAAATGTTCTGATCGCTTCCTCCTTTTATATCATGTCTCCACCATCCTGATGCATAATAACCCGAGTGTTCCATGTCACAAGACCTTTTGTCCCCCTCCGAGTGTCCTCCCAGTGTCCTCGCTGGGGGCCATGGGCAGGGTCTGGCACCCTCAGACTCTAATGGGATTAGCAGCAAAGGAAAAGCAAGTCCAGCCCAGTGACCTTCATGGTGAATTGAGGAGCACAAAGGGAGGAAGGGCTTCCAAGGACAGGTGTGGCTCTGGCCCCTGCTCACCTGGTTGGGACAGGAGATGGGC